AAATGAAAAATTGTAAAACGATATTTGGTATGATTTCCAACGTTCAACGTTTTTTTTTTTTTTTTATTGTAGAAAATAAATTATTCATTTTAATTATCGAAGAAATTTTAAACGAGAGAATGGCAGAAAAATTGGAGAAATCAAAGATAAATATGTTACAAACCCTAGGGGAAACAATTTTCGATTATACACGTGTTATTTCTAGAGAGAATAATGTATGTACGGCTTTCTCGAGATAAACAAATTGTTTTTATTGACTTTTCGTTGACTGTTGTTTAGTTATTTTCTATAAATAAATATATCTTGTGTGAAATTCTATGTAATTATGAAAGTTGATTAATTTATCGTGTAAAAATATTTGAATGAAATAAACGTCATACGAAATAAATTTGTAGCTAATATTTCTTCTTCTTATAATAACAATAATAAATATATCGATATCTTTAATAAAACTGCGCATATACACACAATAAAATTTATTAATAAATATATTTTTCTTTATAAAAATATTTTTCGAATTTACGAGAAAATTCATTTGCGTATTTTAAAAAGCCCGCCAAAAAGCGAACGAACTTATGAACTGACCCAATAACATGGTGAATGGCTTTCGATTTAAACTAATTTATAAAAAAATTATAGACTAAAAAGAGAGAAAAGTCTCACGAAATCGATAATCATGTATCTTTATCCGTTTATCATATAATTATTAAAAAAATAAAAGCAAGAAAATTGGCGAAAAATTTTCGTCTCGTTATTTGTATGTATATATATATATATATATATATACACACCTTTTAAACGTCCTTGAACACATTGCGTTGATTCGCCCAGACGAATGAAAGTAAATTTCACGTGTACACTCATTATGTAACTTAACGCAACGATAATGAGAAATTTTCTCTGCCTCTCGATTTTTTAGATAAAATTTTTTTATGCTACTTCATATATGGAATGTTGAAATAATGTCGTATAAATATATTTGATAAATCATATTCACGATCATTTGATTTCTATTATTTTTTAAATATCTCTCGACTTTTTTTTTCCGTTTCATTTTTTCTCTCTTTTCTTTGTACTTTACATTATATTTTTTTTATTCATTTTAAATACTTTTCTGAACTGAGAATAACTGATGAAATTCGTAAGAGGAAATATCGTAATAATGTATATATATTATAATGGTGAGATATATTTTCACGATTTAATTATTGAAAAATAATGTAACGACGATGGATATTTATATTGACAAACAAAAATTTGAATTCATCATTGAAGAAGGAAATTAAAAATGTTGAGATATTTTTCTTATTTTTCTTTCGAACGAAGACGAAAGAAAGAACGAAAATCGGAGTTATCTTTCTTGTCAATTCATGCAAATTGTTTATAAAGAAAGTTATATAACTCGAAATCTTGCAAAATAAGTGTTATTCCGCAATAAAAATAATTTCAACGAAATTTAGAAACGTACTTATATAACTGATCGTTTAAAAACAAAAACAAAAACAAAAACAAAAAAAAAAATAAAAAAAAAAAGAAGAAAAAAAAATACCGTTTAACGGAATATAAATAGAGAAAAAGCAAAATCATGAATTTCTCTTGAAAAATCTTGAAAAGTTACACCATCGGCAATTAATGTAACAAGAAGCGAGATGGTAAGAGTCTAAATATGGTCACGATTAATGTCATTAACAATGGCTAATTAAACGATCATCCTTTGTAATTGTAATAATAAAGTCCATAGTGATTTACGTTCGTGAAAGTAGACTATGTGAAATCCACATACTTTATTCAGTGACCTCTGAATAATCGAAGTCATGGATGAGGACATACAAAATATCTTTGTTAAAAATTCGGGAGTCATTCTCAATTCTCAAGTGGAACAGATTGGACTAGTAAGGACTGACACGAACTGACACGAACTAGTACGAACTGGCACGAGTTAACACGAATACTGAAACGAATTAATAGGATTGGAACAAATTGAACGTGTAAGTGAAATTTATTATATTTATGATAATATGAAATTTATTTGTAATGCAAATATAATGGAATCTTACGTGTTTTTCTTTTTTTTCGTAAGAAGAAAAAACATTATTTTGAAATGTTGATTTCAATAAAATATAAATTTAAAATTCATCGTCAAATCGGTAATAAAAAAATAGTTAATCTACAAATTCAATATTTGTGTATGCATCAGCAATTTATTTATTCTTTTTATAAATGCATCGAAACTGATATTCATAATGTAACGAGTAAATTTTAAAAATTATTATTGTTATTTAATTGTTTGTGCATTTTTATGAGCTTGAAATCCTTTGGAAATCCGTAAAATGCGAAATTAAAATATAAAATAACCTTTGAACGATAAATAATAAGTGTAAGGCTGATAAAAAATACTGTTTTTTTTTTTTGGAATCGATATATCAGACACACTGAGACACAAAATTCCACAAAATATATTCATATATTCATAATAAGATGCGTGAAAATGGATTCATAGTCGATCTTTCTTAACCGATAAAGAAGTATTCTGAAATATCATCCATTTTTTTCGATCACGACTTTTTTTCTTTTCTTTTTATTTCTATTTTTACATTATGTATATATTGTATTTTTGTATTTTCATAAACAAAATATATAAAAATCGTGTTAACATAATTAGTAGAATTAAGAAATTTAAGAAATTTTTTAAACAAAAATTTCCAAATTTTTAGATTTTTGAATATTTTTCGAATTAACTTTTTTTTTTTAGGCATCATTATTCGTTAATTCCCTTCTCAAATCACGAGTTGTCAACCTTATAAAATTTACACAATTTTCTTACGTTTAAAAAACAATGAATTTACTAAACTAAATCTAGAACACGCAGTCAGAGCGTGTAATTATTTGAATAGAGGTATTCAAGAAAAGTAGTACATGTGTGAATACGTTTCCGAAGTATACGCATTGTCAAGTTGCTTTCGATTGTCGTTTCAAAAGAAAAAAAACATCATTAAACATTAAAATGTTTTATAAAATACAACATTCATATTACGCACGATGAATTCTTTATATTTCTTATATTTCCTAACTCTATATATTTCTATTTTAACAACAATGAGAAATCATGATTTCACCGATTTAATTAATTATCTGATGAAATCAAAAAGATTGTAACACTTGATATGTAAAAAAATGCACGTCTTTATGGAATTTTTTTTCTTATGGCAGTTTTTTTTAAGTTGATTTAGTAATTAAAATTTTCTATGTTATTCAATTTTAAGTAATTTCAATAATTTTTTTGATAAAAGAATTCTAAGTTTGGAACACGAATCGATAACGAATTTATAGAATAAGAAAATTTTTATACTATAATAAAAAGGAATCTTTAGCTATTTTTTGATTCCGAAAAAAAAATTAATCAGCTATTTATATACATCATAAATATTCTTAATTCCCTTGGTAACATTTTATAATTTCGCAATGTTTAATCTATATTATTAAAAATTATTCGAAAACCGAATATTTAATATTCCTTTTTTTATCATTTTTTGAAAAATTTATCATATTTTTCATATTTTTGAAAAATTAAAGGTAAAAAGATTAAAAATTTACAAAAATTATATTATAACAAAATTATATAATATAAATTATAACATTATAATTTTAAATCAGAACAAAGAATAAGTATACAATTAATCCCAAAAATTTTTCACCATTTAAAAATAGTAATGAAACATCCAACCACTTTTCACGACCAATCATTTTATTCCAATTATTCTTATAATTATTAATAAAAACAACAAAAAAAAAATCTAATTACTTCTCAACATAATCTCAACTCCCATTGCGCGCGAACAATCTCGAGAGCGCCATCCTGAGTCCATCGCGCGAATTAACGGGAGGATCATCTCTTTCACCGTAGATTTCGATCGAAGGCCGACGTTAAAATACGAAATACGAAACGAGACAACGAGAAGTCATAAACGATATATTTATAGACGAATTATTCGCAAAGATACGTCGAAGTGGCCCTTAACGGAGCGTGGATCGTGAAAAAAAAAAGTAGAGACGGGTGAAAGTATCGAAGACGGTTCGATAAACGAAAATCGAGCACGGCTGCCGCCATGAAAGCAAAGAGAAAGACAGGTCAAGCGCACGCCGAGACTTTTAATGTAAGCGTGATGCACGGTGCACGATGCACGGTGGAATTCGGTTCCCTTTATGGCGGACGTTGGAACGGTTCCCATAATGGCGCGGTGCCACTCGTGGAAATAACATTTTTCCCCCGAGGAAATTTTGGTGGCTCGGATGAGGCATTGAGGAAAATTGAACTGGGCTGATTGGGATCTCGTTGCGTGATATTGGCTCGATGGATTGTGGATGTAGATAGGTGAGTAAAAAAAAAAAAAAAAAAAATAATAATAATTACTGTTTATTAATCCTTATATCAAAGAAAAGTTTTTTTTTTTCATTTGTGATTCTAATAATAAAATTCGATAGAATTATCTAAAGTAATTTTAACAATAATTGATCGAATTTGAAAAAAAAAAAACAAAGTAAATATAAAAAAAATAACCAAAGTAACATAACAATTTCTGATTTTAATAAACGTACGAAATAATAAATTATATATTTGAGAATAATTTTGGAAAGAGAGAATAATAAATTTAATTTGATCGATGATATAAAAAAAAATTATTTCTACACAAGATTGTAAGATTAAATATATTTTGACATAAGTTATTTTTCTTTTGTTCGAAGCATCGAGAAATGAGGTAAAAAGTCTAATGACGAATGAGGATCCATCTCGCGATCTTATCATCTAGGAAGGAAGAAACGTAATGACAAAGGAACATGGTGAGAGAGGGAGAGAGAGAAGAAAAAGCACGAAGTTAGCGGTACAAAGGTTAAGACGAGGCTAGGTATTGAGAAAGACTGTACCTATTCGTCATTAATTTTCACTCTCAGGCAATCAGCGCTGTGTTTTCTCGCTCTCATTTTCTCGCTAGCCACGCCAGTCCACAAAAAATTTTTACGTACGTACGAAGATTGGAAAATCGTGCAAACGGTTGTGAGACGAGGGAATAGGAAATTTGGTGGAAATTTGTTACATCGGTAATGAAGTGAAATTCTAGTGTAATTCTTTATTTTCTTCACGTGTGATTCGACGAATAGTGATTTTTATGTTATGAAAAATTTTGCCGCGTATTATCGTCGAGTGATGTGTTTCGAATTTTTCTTGTTACTATTGTGAAGAAGAAAAAAAAAAGAAAGAAAGAAAATATTGGCACAGATCAAATTTTCTGGTAATTAAGTTTTTTATTCAATTATTTCGAATTATCGAAATTATCTAAATTATTTCTTTATCAAGATAGACATTCAAGAGTCAGTTTTGAATCAATTTCTTAATTTTGCATTAAATATATAACTCTCGAATTAATACTTTTGTTAAATAACAATTCTTGTATATAATATTTATAGTGAGATGTATATATAAATTTTTTAATTATAAAATATATTAATTCGATGATTTGCATCGATTTAATTGCATCAATTATGAAACTAATATTTCATATTTATACATGTACATATGTTTTTATTTTAGTATATAATTATCGTAATAAATATTTATATAAACTATATATTAAACTGCTTATAAATTGTTAATACAAAATTAATAATTTAATTAATTATTATAAAAAAATACCATAAGAAATATAATAATATAATGTTTATTAGCAAAAAATAAATTAAAGATATATGATTGTAATATTGTAAAATTGATTTATCCATTTTTTTTCATTCATATTATATTCATTCATATGATATATGTATCGTTATCATATTGACTTCGTAGAAAAAAAAATATTAATTTCATTATAATATATATACATCTCATTGATTTCAGTAGGATTTAATCAGATCGATTTTATTATTTAGATACTTGATACGATATTAATAAATACTGATCATATAAAATTTCACTTCATTTCAGATAATTTGGAATTTTTAATATCGAGTTTGCCTTATTGGATCATCAGGCAATTGGATGCGTCGTTGACGAGGTGGAATTAAAAAAAAAAAATAAAAAAATAAAATGGCAATAGGATTGACTACTTTATTCAGTGCTACATCGATTCTTGGATTCACTTTGATTCCCCTTATAGCTATCGGTTTGACTATATACAAATACAATCAAGAGGACCCAGAATCTCATCCTTTCGATACGGAACAGGTTTGATTTAAATTTCTATCTCTAATTAAATACACTCGAGTGATGAATTATTTCTTTTTCAAAAATATTTGAATAAGTTGTATCAATTGTATTACTTAATCGAATCTTTAAAATTTTATTAAATTTACACACTTTAAAATTTAATTAAATCCAATCGATCTTTTTCATTACTCGAGAAACCCACGATCCGACGATTACTCACGGTCGATAAAACAGATGAAACGGTCGATAAATAGATTTTTATCATTTCCACTCTTCGAACAACTTCTCTCTTTCGAATCCTATCCAATTATTATTATACTACAATGCCAATCAATCAAAATTAATTCCTAATTTTCGTTTCAGCTTCTACGAATGTACGATTTTATAGTGGTCGGCGGAGGAAGCGCCGGTGCAGTGGTCGCATCGAGATTGTCAGAGGTATCCAATTGGACCGTGTTGCTCTTGGAGGCAGGTGGCGACGAGACTGAAATTTCCGATATTCCTTTATTAGCTGGTTATACCCAGCTATCAGACATGGACTGGAAATATCAAACTTCACCGCCCAGCTCATCGGCCTATTGCCTCGCAATGATCGGCGACAGATGCAATTGGCCACGAGGAAAAGTGCTCGGCGGGAGCAGCGTATTGAACGCCATGGTTTATGTCCGGGGTAATCGGTAATTCAGTAATCGAATCTTCTTTCGAAAAAAACTTTCGAAAAAATCAATACTCGATAAAATTATCGATTTTTTTCTCTTAAAAATCGTCACAAAATTTAAATCTTCATCAAAATTTTTCAAAAATTTCCTCTCCTCCCAAAATATACTTACTACTCAACTCGAAACGAAATCTAATAAAAAAAAAAAAAAACCTAATAACAAATTCGATTTTTCGAGAACACGTTCCAAATCAAATTTCCATCGCGTGCATCACACACGATACAAATTATTCCAGCCGCGACTACGACAACTGGGCCAGACTGGGCAACAAAGGTTGGAGCTACGAGGAGGTGCTCCCGTACTTCCTCAAGTCCGAGGACAACCGGAACCCGTACCTGGCCAGGACCCCGTACCACGCCACGGGCGGTTACCTGACCGTCCAGGAATCGCCGTGGCGTAGCCCGTTGTCGATCGCGTTCCTGCAGGCCGGCCAAGAGCTCGGCTACGAGAATCGTGACGTGAACGGGGCGAGCCAGACCGGTTTCATGTTGAACCAGGCGACGATCCGGCGGGGCAGCCGTTGCTCCACGGCCAAGGCGTTCCTCAGGCCGGTTAAGAACAGGAAGAACCTTCACATAGCTATGAGAACTCACGCGTTGAGGGTGGTGTTCAACGAGGGGAGGAGGGCCACGGGCGTCGAGGTGCTGAGATACGGCCGCCAACGGTTCATACGAGTTAGACGCGAGATCGTTCTCTCCGCTGGGGCGATCAACACCCCCCAACTGTTGATGCTGTCCGGCATAGGGCCCAAGGAGCACCTGGCCGAGTTCGACATCCCCGTGGTATCCGACCTCAGGGTGGGCGACCACCTTCAGGATCACGTGGGCCTGGGCGGTCTCACGTTCGTTGTGGACGAGCCGGTCACCCTGAAGAAGGACCGTTTCCAGACCGTGTCCGTGATGGCGCAATACGTCGTGCACGAGAGGGGGCCGATGACCGACCCCGGTGTAGAGGGCGTCGCGTTCGTCAACTCGAGATACGCGGACAAGTTGGACGATTACCCGGACATCCAGTTCCATTTCCTTCCAAGCTCGGTCAACTCGGACGGGGAACAGATAAAGAAGATACTCGGGCTGAGGGAGAGCGTGTACAACACGGTGTACAAGCCGTTGGCCGGGGCCGAGACGTGGTCGATCCTCCCGCTCCTCCTCAGGCCGAAGAGTTCCGGTTGGATACGACTGAAGAGCAGGAACCCGTTGGTTTATCCCGACATAAATCCGAATTATTTCACACGTAGGGAGGACGTGGACGTGTTGGTGGAGGGTATACGGATAGCTATGAGGTTGTCGAACACCACGGCTTTCAGGAGGTTCGGCTCGAGGCCGCACACGATCCGCATGCCCGGATGTCAAAGGTACCCCTTCGACACGTACGATTATTGGGAGTGCGCGATCAGGCATTTCACGTTCACCATATATCATCCAGTGGGCACGTGCAAGATGGGGCCGAGGGCCGATCCCACGGCTGTCGTGGATTCAAGGCTCAGGGTGTACGGGGTGAAGGGGTTGAGGGTGGCAGACGGGTCCATCATGCCAGAGATCGTGAGCGGGAATCCGAACGCGCCGATAATTATGATCGGCGAGAAGGCGAGCGATATGGTGAAGGAGGATTGGATGCGCTACGGGAGGGAGAGTGGATTCGCCAGAAGTTGATGGGATTTATTTCTTTTTTTTTTTTTTTTTTTTTTTTACAACGTTTTATATGCGTCGTTCGAGTGCCGTGAGTGTGGATTTTTTTAATTGTTTTTAATCTTTTATTATTGGAGAAGGGACGAAAGAAAGGATTCATGAGATGGATTTGTTTTTTTTCCAAATATATGTGTGTCGTTCGAGTGCCGTGAGTTTGGATTTTTTTAATTGTTTTTAATCTTTTATTATTGGAGAAGGGACGAAAGAAAGGGAAGGAAGAAAGGATTCATGAGAAGGATTTGTGTGTGTCGTTTGATGCTGAGTGCTGTGAGTTTGTTTTGAATTTTTCTAATTGTTTTTAATTTTTATTATATTTTTTTTTCTTTAAAGAATAATGTAAAAGAGATGAAAAAAAAAAAAAAACAGAAAAGAGAGAATGAACGGATTTTTAATTTTCTTTTTATTTGTCTTTAAAGGATAATTTAAAAGAGACGAAAGAAAGGGAAGAAAGAAGAATGGATTTGTTTTTTTTCCAAATATATGTGTGTCGTTTGAGTGCCGTGAGTTTGGGTTTTTTAAATTGTTTTTAATCTTTTATTATTTTGTATCTTTAAAGAATAATGTAGAAAGAGAAAGAAACGGAAGAGGAAGAATGGATTCGTGAGAGGTTGGCGGGTTTTTTAAATTGTTTTCTTTTTATTCGTCTTTAAAGGATAATTTAAAAGAGACGAAAGAGACGAAAGAAAGGAGAATGAATTCGTTTTTTCTAAAATATATATGTGTCGTTTGATGAGTGATTGTTCGTTTGAATTTTTTAACATTTTTTTATTTGTTGTTGTCTTTAAAGAATAATGTAAAAGAGACGAAAATGCGATGTAATTATTATAACTAAAAGTGGAAAGTTTGATATTTAAATTTGCAGATAAGAGAATCCTCAAATAGTAAAATTTTGAGAAAAATTCTTTGAAAAAGAAACGGAAGAGAAAGAAAGGATTCGCGAAGAAAGATTCCAAATATATATATATGTCGTTTGAATTATTTAACGTTTTTTTTATTATTGTCAAAGAATAATATATAAAGATTTATTTATTATTTTATTTTTTTTAGATTTAGATTTGAAACGAAAGTGTTCAATTTTATTTATTGCAATTAACGTAGAAAGTTTTATATTTAAATTTGCATTTGTAAAAGAAGTTTCTCAAAAATTCTTTCGAAACGATTCAGGAATAGAAAATAGCACGATCTAATCTAATTTATTAATCGGAAAAAATCGTTCCAATTATCTTCGAAGTAATTTAAAAAAGTTCCCTCAAGACGATACTTCATCGATCTGTTTGTCTCCCGAGGGAAACTTTTTTTTTTCTTTTTTTTTTTACGTTAAACAAACATTGTGGAGTGCAACGGGTAATACGTACGTAATCCGACTTAACTTTCAAGCACGACTTGCAAGGAAGTGTCAAACACACTTTCACGTTTACCAACGAGCTGTGAAAAAACTTGGTATTGAAAGTTATTTAACATCGAATCATCACTTGTCTCGTCTCGTCACAGATATATTACGTCAACATTAAATAAGAACATTTATTCTCAAACAAATCGGAATAGCTTGATATTCAAACCTGTTATATTTTACGTGTAAATTATTTTTTTGTAACAATGTAACAAAATATCTATCTATGTGTGTATATAATATAATTTATACGAATTTAAACGTGCCATTATTTATGACAATTCTTGTATTAATAATTGATTTCCTATGAAGAAAATTTCTTTTCTTTTCTTTTCTTTTTTTTTTTTTTTTTTTTTTTTTATTTTAGATCGAATCACGGTATAATCACGATGTAAAAGTGTTGCAATATTCTCTATTTACGTCATTTTATTTATATCGAAATAAAATGAGTTTTTAAATAAAGTCTCCTTCTTGCCACTTCGATTCTATGAACGCGTAAACGCGTAAACGTCAAATGTTAAACGAGGGAAAAATCTGGAAAATGGAAAGTTTGTTTAGCAAATTCTTCTCCATCTCGACATAAATTCCGATTTCTAAATTTCCAAACGATCTAGATTCAAAGATAAATAAAGGAGAAGGGGAATTTGAATATTTTCTTTAAAAAATTTTTTTGAAAAAAATTTGGAAGGGATTCAAAATTTTAAAAAGTTAATGTCTTAAAATAATAAATTCTAAATTCGCTTTCACACGTGTCTTAATTTGAATATCTATTACCATCCTACTTCTTTCATTAATCTAACAAATTCAGTGTACGATAACCGCACGATTTCTTCTTACGATCGATGATAAGAATCCGTTCCATCTCACGATGGGAATAATTTTCCAACAACACTTTCACGTTACATTCCTTGATGAATTCAATAATAAAATCTTTAACTTCGATTATACGCAGAATAACAAATAAAAAAGATCGTTTCGTGGTAGATGTAGATAAGAGCAAAAAAAAAAAAATGCTTGAAAAAATTTTATGACGCGACTGTACGCGTCAACCGCCGTGCAATCGCGGTGACAGACTCTCTCTCTCTATCTCTATTACTCCGTCTCGCTTCATCCAACGCAAACACCGATATATCATCACAGCTCAAAAAACAACAGATATTTTTATCAGTCACAGGAATTTTTATATACTATCTTATAAAAAAAATTCAATTATTATGAATTATTATTATTATATATATAACAAACAAATTTTAAATCAAGTTTGATGTTTCGTATACAATTTCCTTTGGAAATATTTTTTTACCATCCGATGATAAAGCATTAAATATTTTACAATTATTTAAAATTTTGCTTCATCTTGAATCATTATGAAACGAAATTATCTAAAAAAAGAAAATATTATTCTCCACGAAGATATTTCACGAACATGTTATTAATAACTGTCAAATTAAAAAAAAAAGCAAATTACCTTCACTTTTATATTCACTTATATATATATATATATATATATCTGTTTAATAATTTTGGTTGCGCGATGAATATAATACGATTCTTTGTCGCGATTAGGAGTCAACGATAAGGAACAATCTGAGGATCTTCTCGTGGGAGAAGAGGAGAGCGTGGAAGACGAACTCGGAAGAGCGTGGATCGCGGGCGGACTTTCACGAACGAATCACCATTTTACGTAAGAGGTTGTGCGCCAAATGCATTACAGGATACCGATTTCTCATTTCCGCTTCCCCGTTTCCTGGACCGCGCGTTGAATTAAATTAAGGATTTATTAGACGATTAGATTTTAGCGACGAACGTTGTTGATTACGACTGCTCTTAAGTACGCATTTGGGGAAAATAAGTTTTTGAAAGGTTTTCTCTTCTATCTATAGATTGGTAGTTTTAACGTTGCCTTTTTTGCCTCGCTCAAAGAGACGGCAAACATTTGTTTTAGAAATTCTTTTTCGTAAAAATTGTCTTAAAATACTTCTGATTTTTCTTT